GACTACAACCATAGGATTTTCTATTCTCTTCCTTCCTTCCTTAGCTTAGCATAATGTTTTCTATGTTGTTTTATGAATCAATTTTCCCTCTTTCCTCACCTCTCTTCCTTATTTGGTGGCACTGGGGTTGAACCTAGTGCCTCACATTAGGGACGCCCTCTACACTTGAGCCATAGCCTCAGCCTCCTTCCATAAATGGCTTACTACAGCCAATATACTATATCTTTCCTCCTCTAAGATATTTTTATTTTGTCTGCACTTTATTGATTATTGCTGATGAAGACTATCATTGGTTCAGGACCAGAGATTTTCCTAAACAACAGAACACAGAGGCATTGTACCATCTCATCTCCTCCCCAGCCTGTGTAACGAGGAATATCATAGTGGCCTCATTCTACCTCACTGCATTTTATAAATAAGATTCCACCTGCTAAACTGCTAAGGCAATTAACTAAAAAACATACTTTGTGCATAATGGGAAGATGTTCAGTTTGCCTTATGCAAAGACACTGAGGAATACAACCACCCCCAAAGTGACAGGACGTTTTAAAATTATGAGTTGGATTTAATCATTTTCATGGAAAACTGGCATTTCCTTTAAAATGGTTTTTCCCCAAATTGAGATGTTATTGTAATGTGCCCCTAAAAACTGAAGTTGGCTAAATCAACCATAGCACTTACATCTGTCTTATTTCCTAGGCATTATGCTGATCCTAAATCTGAAGTATCTGCTTATTTTCATCTACCATACGCATAATAAGTATTTACAAAATTGAAAAAATATTTAGAAGAAAAAATGTAAATCTTCTAAGTATCTCAGAGTCTTTATTAACTGTACTGTTAACATTATTTTAGGTCCAGTTAGTTTGTTCATATCTTATTATATATTGCTTCTTCTTGTTATTTTTTATTAAGAAATATTTTATTTCTTATTTTATTGTAAATTATGTACCGAGGGGTTACAGTTACATAAGTAAGGAGTATATTTCTTGTCAAACATTTTTACCCTCTCTCTTGTTCTCTCCCTTTGACTCCCCTCCCCATACCTTGTAAAGTTCATTTTTAATATAGGGTCTTGTTAGTATTGCTATTGCATTGGTTCACCCTTTGCGTGATTCCCTTTCCCTTCCCCCAAACAGATGAACTTATATACAAGACAAGGGGTACCAAAATCAATATCAGTGACAACAGGGAAGTGTTATTTTAAAAAGAGGCATTCATAACAACATTAAACCAGAGGAAGGTAGCTCATACCTGTAATCCTAACTACATAGGAGGTTGAGATTTGAGGATCACAGTTCAAAGCCAGACAAGGTAGGAAGTCCCATGAAACTTTTAATTCTAATTAATGTCCAAAAAGCTGGAAGTGGAGCTGTGGCTCAAATGTTAAGAGTTCATCTTGAGCACCAGGGCACTGAGCTCAAGATGGGCAGACACAAAACAGAAGCCAAGCACCAGTGACTCACATTTCTAAGCCTAGCTACTAAGGCTAGGAGAGCTACTAAAAGACTGAGATCTGAGGATCGTGGTACAAAGCCTCCTAGAGCAGGAAAGTCTGTAAGACTCTTATCTCCAATTAACCACCAAAAAAAGCCAGAAGTGGAGCTGTGGCTCAAGTGGTAGAGCACTAGCCTTGAGCAAAAGAGCAAAAGGGCAGTGCGTAGGCCCTGAGTTCAAGCCCCACAACTGGCATGTACACACACACACACACACACACACACACACACACACACACACACACGCACACACAGGCACATATGCACGCACGCACACACACCATTAAATGCATATTAACAAGCATACTAAAAACATATCTCTGTCCTCCTAACAAGTACATGTGTTTCAAAGAGTAGACAGCATAAATATATAGCTATTTATAATACACTGGATAACATATCAATAGCATCATTTTATGGTATAGTACTGAGTACTGTACATATCAACACTTTATTTTATCATTATGACCTAATTTACTGACATGACCCAATTTGTAGCACAAGTACAATGCTTCTGTCTGCCTAGATCACATTGTAGGCTATGAGGGAAAGACGATTATAGCAAAGGGAAAAAAAAGACTTTCTATCCTAGATACCTACAAAATAGTACAGTTGGAGATACATTTGTGTGGCTGTGTTTCAGCATAAGCCTGGCTACTGCAAAGAAAGGGGAAAGATGACTGCTAGAGAGCCAATGGTTCCTAACCACTATGAGTGAAGGATGTTGAATAGTCAATATATAAATTTGATTAAGCCTAAATCTATTGGTAGAGTGGAAAAACCTAAGCAAGCGCAAGCTCTGCGTGCCCACATACAAACACACATGAGAGAATCTGCAATGCCAAGAATGAGCTCCTTATTTATCTAGCCTACCGGTCCAACAGGCCAGGGCCATCCAACTATGGTTTGTTCCCACGCTAAACACCTTAAAATTTTCAGTGTTTGTGGACACACTGGTTTTCTGAAGCTGTTATAATAGATACTAATTACATTTCTGTTTTATTTAGAAACATAAGGAAGAGCTCATCAGGTGTAAGGACTTTCTGATTTACTACAGTATCAGAATTCTCCATGCACTCTCCTTTGGCTAAAAACAACACTTCTGAATCATGAGATAAAGTGCAAAAACCTTTTCTGTATTGAGTTCAGGGGCTGCAGATGCACTGGTTAAAGAGAAACTCTGCAGGCTTTCATTATGGTACCAGTTAGGAAGACTGAGTTTTATTGTGAAGGAAGATTCTCCTAGATAGTTCAGTACTCGCTTTCAAATGAACAACCCTCCTTCATTAACATCTGAGACATCCAAGAAACAAATTTCCTAAGGAAAGAATGGATCTTCCTTTTTTCTTTTGATGAGCTCCTGAAAAATCTGGCAATGATAAAAGTTGGTAAATCCTATAAGTGTGTTAAGTGCAAATCTCAAAGGAAGAAAAAACAATTCTACCCAGTAAAGTTAAATATACTCTGCTATTTTTTCATAGTCACAACACAACCATTCTGTTCTCACACAATGAATTGAAACTCCAAAATGAGGACCGTTAGGGCCTTTGCATTAATGGTCTTATCTTTGCAATAACGGAACTTTCTCTGCGGCATGATAAACACTTGATGACTTTTGCAAAGCCATGGAATATAAAAGAACCTTCCATTTCCTTTGCCTCCTCATGGTGCACAATGAGGGCTGGTGGTGGAAAATGGTTTAAGTTGCAAAGCTTGGATTTCATTATGATGAGAACATAGCTAAGAAACCATTTAACAATTCTTTTTGAGATTCTATTCACTGTCCAGCTAATACAACTTCTCACCACTAGTACTCCTTCAGTCTTGGCATTCTGCAGGATAAACATAGAGCTAGATGCAATAGACCCTTTAGGAGCTCTGGGTATACTGACGCTATCACCCATGATAGAGAGATACACTCATTTTTAAAAGCATATTCAAGTAGTAGTGGTAGTCTGCACTTTGCTACCACTGCTGTGTGGACTGATCATTAGGACTCATTTATATCTTCCTCAACACCTTTCTAATTCAGAATAAGAGCCTAGTAATTTTTCTATCCACAGACAGTTCAGAACCTTATAAAGTAATTTTAGGAAGTAAGACTTCAAGTGATATAAAGGCATGTGTGTTGTTGTAAATGGCTGAAAAGCACATCCCAAACAGGCCACGCCCTCATTCACAGTACCCAGTAACTATTCTTGCTGAGGCTGAGCCTCTATTATACAGCACAGTTGAAAGCAGGTTTCTTGTGTTCATGTCAAGTCTTACAATTCTGCCTTTGGCTGCTCCAGTAGGATCCTGTCAGATCAGTTGGCCAAGTGTTTTAGGACAAGCCTGCTAAGTAGATTTAGCCACTAGTTGGCTAGATCCACGTACACCAACATGGGGTACCAGTTACGTGTTAGTCTGCGTTATTTCAAGTTCACTTACAAACTGGTTTGTGTGAACTCAAAATCACATTTTGTCATAGAAACTACATTGAATGTAGCCAGTAGTTACCTCCTGTGAAGCCTATTTAACCTACAAAATAGGTAAGCTATATTATTTGCAGTTACTTTGTACTCTAACTCTAGAATTCAGTAATATCTGGGGGAAAATGTATTAAGATTTCCAACTTGGAAATTCCAGGAACTAATTATATCTGGTATCTGGCTGCAACCCAAGAATAGAAAACACAGTTTAATCTACATGGGTGGGTAAAAAGCAACTGGCCTACCGCTGTCATTATTTTTATTATTTATTTATTTTTGCCAGACCTGGGCTTGAACTTAGGGCCTGGGCATGGTCCCTGAGCCTCATTTTTCGCAAGGCTAGCATTTTACCTTGAGCCACAGCACCACTTCCTACTTTTTCTATTTATGTGGTACCGAGGAATTGAACCCAAGGCTTTATGCGAGGCTAGCATTCTACTACTAAGCCACAATCCCAGCCCCACTGACATTAATTTTTGAGAACATGACACATCTGGGTACAGTTGACTTCTCTTTATGTTAAGGATTTTAGGAGTTAGATACCAACTTGCTATTGATTTTCAACATTTGTAACTTAGAACTAGTATTTCTAAACACAGGGGGGAAAACCCTCCAAATTATCTCTTTTCCTTAAAGGAAACATTTCCCACTCAAGATTAAGTACAAAAAAGCTAACAAGCAAACAAACAACAAACAAGAAAACTGAAAAAAAAAAGGTAGTCATTAACTCCAAGAAGAACAATACTTGTTAAGAAAACTATAATTATAGATCAAATATAAACTGTCATTATAGTCTAAACAGTAAACACTGACCAACCCAAAAGTTAAAATTAAAAATCATGATCTGGGAAAACTGAGCAAGGAGAGTGCTGTTAATATTTTTTTACAATCTATGTTTTCCATTTTCATGAGTGTCTTTCACATATCTACATTTTTAACCACACCGTATTTTAAAATTTGAATCTCATTAAAATATTAATATATACTTAATATTTTGTATGAAGATAAACATGTATGGCTTAACAATGAGTACCTTGGCAATAGCAGTTTGTTTAAACATGCGAGTAATCAACCCCATAACAGTCTCTGTGGCACCTGAATTTGGAGCTCTCATTAATTTTTGCCATTCTTCAAAGCTGGTATTCAACTCCTATGTGGGATAAAGTAACATTGTTTAAGAATATAACATATAATGAATAGAATGGCTAATGCAATCATGAATCATGTCCCACTTTTTTTCTGTAAAATAATATAAAAAGAAAATTATTATAGATATCAACATATTCACTTAAAACATCATGGCTGAGGTCAGGCACATGTTCATGCCAATTAGAGAAATCAATGACAAACTATGATGAAAATAAAGCCCTTACCTCACATGATAAATCAAACAATTGCAGCTTCCTCTTAAGGAGAAATATTATATGAAGTGAAAAGAAAATTCTAAATATAAAAAATCAGGTCAGTTACGAATATATATGGTAGTGAAATACTTTTATGAAAAAGACATGACTTTACTTAAATAAGCACAAAGACTAGTAGTTAAAATCATACAAATCATATATTGATTATTTTATTTTTCTCTCCAGTACTAAAATGGTAAATTAATAAAACCAAAGCATTTTTATTTTACAAACAACATTGCTCAATGTTGTGAAGATATAACAATGAAAAACTCCTTGTCCAGAAAGTCATGGTCAGATTTGAAGACATTTCAGACTACATGTAAGCATTATATTCTCTAAAAGTAAATATAGATAAGGATTAGGTACAATACACTTTTGGTTTTCTGATATGCTAAATTTCAGCATTACAAAATGATCACAGATCAGGATTTCAACAGTAGGGTTATAGCCAACTTATTCTAGAAGATAGTTATTCATACTTTGAAATGTTCCAGAGCGTTAAACACAATTTTGTTTGCTAATTATTGGTTTTCATACCCAATAGATATTATGAATTCTTACTACTAATCATTTTTGTAACTATAGTCAGCCCAAAATTTTTATCACAAAATTTAGTTTTAGTTATCAACTATAAACAGATACATTACTATAACCAGATATACTACTGTATCTGTTCATAGTTGATAACTACAGCTAAAGTTTTGGTCTTTTCTTAAAATGATATAAAATCATTTCATACATTATATTAATTAAACTTATTTTATGAAGGTAGATTTCCTTTTCTGAAATATATATAATCGTTCCTAGAATAATTTAAAGTAAGACATTCAATCAATACAACTTCTCACCTTGGCTGCTGCTGCTGGAAGGTCAAATGGAATTCGCTGTCTGATTTTAGCAGGCAGCTGGGTTAAAACTTCAGACTTTAATCTTCTAATCATTATGCCACTTAATAGTTGGTGAAGTTCATTAAGATTTGATGCTCCTCTATAATCCCACTGAGGTCTTTTACCAAAATATCTATTAATAGAAAGAAGAAACACATGTAGCAAAGCTGATTATAAAGAAAATAATTTACCTAATATGTTCTTCCTTATAATAATAAAGACCCATGATACTGTTTTCATTGTTACTATTGAATAAAATCAGTTTCAAAAGCCCATCCTGAAAAATAGCAAGGTTTAAGATTAGATATTACTCATAGAAAATGTTGGTGTCTAAAAACTGTTTCCTTGATTTTATTCAATAGTAACAATGAAAACAGTATCATAGGCTTACTATGAGGTATTATGAGGTACTACAAGGGTTGCTTTTGTGGTTTCTTTGAAAATTATTTATGAATATAGATTATTATGCCCATGAATTTCATTTCAGTATAAAAAGATCATAGATTTATGGGCATTAGATTGATAGGGTTGAGATACAAAACATATGACTACTTTCTTCATAAATATGTATCACAGCTACTATGAAGTATACATATGACTAAGTTCTGGGGAAATATTTAATATTTATATAATTCAATCTTTAATACAAAGCAAATAAGAAAAGGCCCCAAAGAAGCCAGGTACTGGTGGTTCGTGCCTGTAATCCTAACTACTTAGAAGGCCAAGATGTGAGGATCATGATTCAAAGCCAGGCTGTACAGGAAAGTCCATGAGAATGTCTTTTTCTCTATTTGTAAACATTTATTCTCTTTAACTGTAAAAGGCTTGCATCAGTACACACTGTACAAATTACACAGAAATTGAAAAGAAGGTTCCTAAGTGCAATGAAACTTTGATGTCCAGTAATCTGATGTAAACAATGGAAACAAAATTTAAACCACCAAAGAAAGTTCCAGCACTCATCAAAGGCATTTCCATAAGTGACAAAAAAAAAAAAAAAAAAGGAAGGGAATGCAGGTTAAGTGGCATTTAGTTATTGGAGGGACACTTTTATTGGAGAGGCAATTTTATTGCTAATTAACCACCAAAAACTGGAAGCAGAGCTGTGGCTCAAAGTAGTGCAGGGCTACTTGAGCACCAAAGCTCAGGGCCTGAGTTCAAGCCCCATGACTGACAAAAGAAGAAAAACAGGCCCAAAAGAGCAATGAATATTACAACCACAAGGTCTTAACTGCTGGGTTTTTGTTGGTTTTGTTCTTGTTTTGTTGCATTGCTCTTAATCACTGAGATACATATATACTCCAAGCCCTCCTAACTAACTTAAACTACAAAACCCTTAAAGTATTCTGAGGTAAATGTAACATAAAATTCAACATTACATAGTCACAAAGAAATGCAAATAAATGTCATAAGTCAAATTATCAAATTTGAAATGTACTATGATATTGAAATTGGTTATCATGATCCTTACAGAAATCCTTTTACTCTCTTACTATACATTGTTCAAAATACACCTATCCCTCAAATTTGGAACCAGTTAGTGGTCTTGGCAGATACTTATTTAGTATCTGGGGACAATTTATCACAGCAAGTATATCGTCAGGTTGTTGATGTTTTGCTGCTTGTATTTACTGAATTTGCATTTTTTGTTGTTATCTTTGTGTTATAGTATTCATTCTTTTCACAACCATGCACCAATAGCTTCAGAGGTTTGTAAGGGTATAAAATTTGAGACAGAAATGTTAATTAATTAGCTCAGAATTGTACATTTAGAAGAATAGTCCATTAAAAGGAAATATTGCAAGAAGTATGTACTATTGAAAAGCTGAGTTTAAATGATTTGTTGCACTAGTATGTTGTCTGAGATGAAAATCTGTACAGAGTAGCTGCAAGAACTATGATGTTTTCTTTAATACACTTCCACAGAATGTTTCAGGACATGTTTAGTAAACTGAGGTTATGGACAGACTTTGTGTCCAGAAGCCTAGACTAAATGCTAAAGAGTTGTATAAATTTGGAAAATAAATTAAATCCTAAAAGCCTTGATGTGCTCACTAATAAAGTGAAGATTAAAATAAATAATACTTAGAACAAATACAAAAGTTTCAATAATGATCTAACAAGAGAGATATTGTTATTGCTTTCATTGTTATTGCTATTATATTACTGTGACATACTAGAAAATTACCTGTAACAATGTGCATAAATAAAAAAGTCAAATTCTCTTCAGTTAAAAGGGTATAATACAAGAATATGAGGCAGTTGTGAACTAGTTAATCTCTTGCCATTCTAATCTTACCATCAGTGAAATTTATTCTAATCTTTATCTAAGAACAGCAGGTAATACATTATTCTCAAGTTCACATGAAAAGTCAGTCACCAAGACAGTCACTATCCTGGGTCATGAAACATACTGTAAGAAGTTTAAAAGAACAGTAATTACACAGTTTCATTCTCAAACCATGATGGAATTTAACTAAAGTACTAATAGAAAAATATCTGGGAATACTAAATTATTAAAGATTTAAAAAACACATCTGTAAGTAACACATAGGTCAAAAGAGAAATTTAAGAAGAATTTAAAAATATTTGCAACTGAATTAAAGTGAAATATATCTTTTTAGAAAGTGTGGGATGCATCACAAGCATTGCTTAAAGAGAAATTTACAACATTGGATGTACATATTATAAAAAAGAGGAAGAGGGCTGAAGGAGTGGCTCAAGTGGCAGACTGCCAGTGGAGCAAGCAAGCCAAGCAGGCACAACACTCTATGCTCAAACCCTGGTACAAGAAAGAAAAAAAGAAAGAACGGAAGAAAGAATGAATGAAAGGAAGGAAGGAAGGAAGGAAGGAAGGAAGGAAGGAAGGGAAAGGGAGAGAAAGAAAGGAAGAAAGAAAGAAAGAGAGAAAGGAAGGAAGGAAGGATGGAAGGAAGGAAGGAAGAAAGAAGAGAGGGAAGGAAGGAGAGAAGGAAGGAAGGAAGGAAAAGAAAGGAAGAAAGAAGAAAGAAAGAGAGAGAAAGGAAGAAAGGAAGGAAGGAGAGAGGGAAGGAAGGAGAGAGGGAAGGAAGGAAGGAAGGAAAAGAAAGAAAGACAGAAAGTGAAACAGAAAGAAGAAAGAAGAGAGAGAAAGAGGAGAAAAAGGAAAAAAGGAAGGAAGGAAGGAAGAGGAAGGAAGAAAGGAAGGTGAAGAAGAAGGAGGAAGAGGAGGAGAAGGAAAGGAAGAGAGGGAAGAAGGGAAAAAAGAGAAAAAGAAAGCTATAGACACAATAATTTAAGACTAGGGTTATGGCTCAGGTGGAAAACGGAGCAAGAGTGTAAGGCCCAAAGGTCAAGCCCTAGTATTGGCGCAAAAATAAATTTAAAAAACAACCTAAACTTTCTGCTTAGGACACTAGAAACAGGAGAGCAAACTAAATCCTATGAAAGTGGAAGACATAAAAATGAGAGCTAAAATCAATACAACTGAAAATAGTAAATCAATACAGAAAATAAAACAGAAAGCTGGTTCTTTTAAAGGACCAATAAAACCAATAAGCCTCTAAAAGCCATAGTAACTGAGAGATGACAAAATTACTAGTATCACAAATGAAAGATGGGACATATACCTGTAGAACCCATGGACATTAAGAGAATAATAAAACACTATTATTAATAGCTCTATGCTCCAAAGGCTGATAAGCTAGAAGACAGATCAATTACTTGAAAAATCACAACCTGCCAAAAATCATAGAAGGAAAAGCAGACAACTAAATAGGTCTATATTTATTAAATGAATTCAGTCACTAAGTAATAAGTTTTCAGAACAGAAATAGAACCAGACTCAAGGTTAAGTTCCACTAGACATTTAAAGAAGAAATTGTACCAGGTGATAATTGTTGAAAGTCAGTGATGAAAACTGAGGAAGAGAAGATCATTATACTATGGCATCTACTTCTACATATATTGAACTTTTTCACCAATAAAATATCAGAGAATAAAGAAACAAATGCTACAGAGTCCAGGAATATGAAGCTCTAACAGAATATAACTACATAAGAAACTCAACATGATGGCTTTGCATCAGTCCTAAAGAAACCCAATCTAGATTGCAGTATAACAGAAGGCTGTGGGAGGGAGAGTCCAAAAAAAGAAAAAAAGGTTATTTTATTTTATATACTTGTAAGACTTGCTGGAAGTTAACAGAATTGTTGCAATGTCATTTAATTAAAAAAAAACACCCCAAAACTAGCAAACTAGGCTTTGGTGGCTCAGGTTCAAAATCCTAGCTACTCAAGTGGCTGAGATCTGAGGATCAGGGCACAAAGCCAGCCAAGGCTGGCTTAAGACCCTGAGCTCAAACTCTGGTACTCAAAAATAAATAAATAAATAAACAAATAAATAAATAAGAAAGTCTGTGACACTCTTATCTCCAAATTAACTACCCTAAAAGGCAGAAAGTAGGTATGGTTCAAGTGGTGGAGTGCTAGGTCAGTGCCCAGGCCCTGAGTTCAATCCCCAGGCCAAAAAAAAAAGTTAGCAGGGTGCTTGAGCCTCATGATTATAATTCTAGCTTCCTAGAAGGCTGAGATCTGAAAGATCCAGTTAGAGGCAAACTGGTGAAAAATAGTTTGCTAGACTCCATCACCAAATAACCAGCAAAAAAACAATATTGGAGGCATGGATCAAGTGGTAAAGTCACAACCTCTTAAACTTAAAGCCTGAGTTTAAATCTCAGTATCACGAAAAAGGTTTAAACTCAAAAGTAGTTATAAATGACAAAAAGCCCATTACAAAATAATGCATATAATATGGTCTTATATATATATAGAATTTTGTCTCTCTGTCTCTCTCTCTGTCTCTCTCTCATCCTTTTGTATTTCAGCTACCTAAAAATGAAAGATACCAAAACACATTGCTAATGATTGTCAATGAGAGATTCCAGTTGATTTTAACTTATTTTTAAAAAATCTTTTGATTTGATTTACTGAAATAAATATGCTTCACTTCCCCAAAGAAATAAGGTATCTTTAGTTGAAAAGTTAGAGAAAGAAAACAATGTGTTTCTAAGTGAAAATCAGCAAATGATAGTACTGCGTTTAGGACAGATCAAAACTGTGTAAAAATTATTAGCTACATGAACCAGGCAGGGCA